CCTGCCAACTTCCCAGAATCCTTCTCGCTGGAATTCATCTTGGCCGAGCGATGCACGCGCCACCAGGAAGGACCCTGAGTCAAAGTGACTGTCCAGAGATAACCCCAAAACTAACCCCATTCCCATAAAACCCGAGACTGAGCCACGTGGGCAGAGCAGTCCTCCTGGCTTCCCTTACCCTGCTGCTCTCCACCCGGGAGCCACTTCCCAGCAAAGTCTTCTGCTTTGTCAGCACGTGTGTCTCTCCAGACACTTCACTTCTGAGTGTTAGACAAGAGCCCACTCTCGGGCCCTGGAAGGGGTCCCCCTCCTGCAACAGTCCCACAAATATGCTTACCTGTATTATTTCACAAGTATAGATTTTTGTTTCCATCACTTATCAAGGTCATTCTCCCAAGTTTTATCTTCTCAAGACACAAAATGACTTTAAAGAAATGGACTGTATATACCAAGCTAGAACTTTGGAGCTTTTGTTCCTCAGGCACCCACTACCCATGAACTTAAATCATCTGTATCCTCTTTATCTTGTCTGCACGTATCTCTTGTTCCTATGCAAAGGGCACAAGAAAAGATCTGAGCCTGAGTGTTGTGGCTTAGAAGATGAAATAAATTGGAGCCCAGGGAAATGAGCCCCTCGACGACTACTTGGTCAAATCAGAAAGAAAATTAGTCTAGATGCTAATGACGATGTGTGCTCAGCACGCCACGTGGCACATGATGAGACGAGAGGGAAGCAGGTGCCATTAACAATTATGAAGCCACACTGGGGAAACTGCAACCCAGAAAGTTAGCCACATGCCTGATAGTTAAATACTCTGCTAAGTCATTTATTCTTCCAGGTTACTGTTTAAATCATTATTGAGACTATGAAAATACGTATTTTTATCTTGGCATAATTATATAAATTATTTCTTAAGTTGCCCCAATTAGTATACCTTTTCCTGAGCTTGTTTTTTTCTTTTCATACATACCTAGCACTTGGGGAACAAACTTTCACTAGTTGTTTCCTTTCAATACTGTATTCAGGCTCCATTTGGATGTTAAATTTGGTACTCTTTACACAGATAGGCAAGATGTCATCATTAATGTCGAGCAAAGTCCCATATGCTCATCGCTCTGCATCTTTTTGCCCCCCACCTAAGAGCAACACCAGTAGCAACACAAACAACAGCATTGAGTGCCATACTCAGATTGTGCTAAGTGTTTCTGTATTACTTCACTGGTTTTCAAATTTCCCCTTTCAATGAAATCTTATCCCAATGCCCAATATTCAAAACAGAAAAGGAGAAGCTCCCAAAGTCTCTTTGGGCCATTTTCACAATGGCTGCTTTATCTCACTTAAAGTTTCTTCAGTGACGCTGAGAGTTATTTACTGTTTTAACTGGGCCTTGGAGAGCATTCATAACGTGCTCAAAGCCAGAGAGCAGTAAGATAATGGAGCCAAAATTGCATTTATTCAATCAACGTGAACTCTTTGCCTGCCTCCTGTGTGCCAGATACAACTCTTGGCACTTGGAATACATCAGTGAACAAACAGGCAGAATCCCCTGTCGCTGGTGGAGCTTATATTCTGTCCCAGTGGATTTGAAGGCAGGTTTGTCTAATTCCAAAATGGTGTGGACTTCATGGGATACTACAGTGGCACTACTTGGATTCTTTGGTTTTCTCTCTTGTTCAATCAACCTCTCTCTGCTGACCTGAGCCACAGCGGTATAATTCTACGTTCTTAGGGAGTATGCATATCTGGATGACTCATGATCAGCTTAAACTGATACATTCTAAAATCAGCATCTACCTGCCGCCAAGCTGTCAAAACAATCGCCAGGGACTGGTAACATTCCTGTGGTGCTTGGAAGCCCACAAAGCCCATTTATATAGAGTCTCTTGCTTATTTCTCTTAACTACTTCACAAGCTACAACCAAGTCAGAAATTATGATCCTATCATACAGTTTGTAAAGGACAAAGTTATGAATGGGGGATGTGTACTTCAGTCTGCTGTTGGAGAGATGCAAAATGTGCTCATTTATTTTCTTTAAGTAAATTTGATTTAACACTGAATTTCATATCCTGCTCAGCTAATGGAAAATTCGACTTCAGTCACTCCTGGGGCTCCCTTCCCAAAGCCTGGCCAAGATAACTTACTGTTACATTGGTCTGATCCCTTTAGGCCCAGCAGTTCTGCCATGCTTGGGGAATAAGAAGTCCTTGCTGAGTGTGGGAAGCACAGCTGTTCCCTTCTGTGGTCTGGCCACCAACTTGGGCACTGCCAGGTAGAAAGCTGTGGGACCCACGAGATTTCGTAAGCCTCAGATCTTCGTTTCCTCCAAGGTCACCTGAAATTTCTCTTGTATTTTTTCCTCTGTGGCATGTTCTCTCTCTTCACCCTCTAGGATACATGAAATAATCTCCTTAAAGGCTTGAGCTTTGGAAACAAAGCAAGGAAGGAAGGGATCTCACAGGCAACCCCATCTTGATAGCTGTCACAAACTCTCATGAGGCAAAAGAGCTTGGAGTCGAAGAACTGCTTGAGAATAGTTACTGGGGAGAAATCTATAAATTAATATCTGAAAAATTCTTCTGGAACATGGCTCACACTTATTCATTACTTATTATTATGAGCCAGAAACTGTGAGAAGCACAGGTGCCTAATCTCATTCAATCCTCTCAAAATCCTAATTAGGTTAGGCCCATTGTTCCCATTCCGCAGGCGAGGAAAATGAGGCTCACAGAATTGATGTAACTCTTCCAGCACAGTGAGTGGCAGAGTTGGGGTCTGGTACAGGTTTGACCTCAGGATTATGCTCCCTTACATCTGTGTTCCTTCCATCCCACTTACCATTCCTGTCAATGCCATTTCTCTAACCATTGGGGAGCTACTATTGGTTGCCCACTATCTTTCACTGCTTCTACTCACTGTCAGGGAATTAAAGGAATTTTCCATCCAAGTGTTCTTGGCTTCCTTTAAGATGCTGATCGAGTTGCTCTGCTGTATTTATGTGGTGTTTTGCTTCTTCAGTATCACTTCGGTTTCCTTAAGTCTGGACAGCTCTGTCTGTGATCAGGTTCTCTGTCAAGACCAGGGCCTCTGTGTCAAGACCAGGGCTTCCTATACATACATGTGCAGGAAGATGTTTCCCTATGGGAAACATAAAAATGCACATTCACAACACCCACCCCTAGATGTCTGGGTTCAGTGGGCCCAGGGAGGATTCTGGGGGCTCATCTTCAGCAGAAATTTAGGTAATTGTGGTGAAGGTGGCTCATGGTGCATCCTTTGAGTGCCACTGCTCTAGCCAATCCTTTCTCTACTTTACCTTTAATTTATTCAAGTCACTGCTTGTTTGGTTACAAGGACCAGGAACTCTCTCAAGTTCAAATGTAAAGGGAGCTGATGGCTGAAAAGGAGGACAAGGTGACATTATGAGAAAGAGAAGAGCCAACTCAAGAACTGGACAATTGTCAAAGAGCTCTTCTACTTTGCTCTTTAAGCTCCATGGGTCCTTGTCGCCTCTATCCTTTCGGGCTGCATGAAAGTATGTCTGCTCCATCTCATCTCTGTAAATCAGCTTTGTCCTATCTGCCCATGGCCTTCACTTGGGAAGTCTGAACTGGGCCCTAAATTTGACATATCACTGCATTATACTCACTAAACACAATCTCTATGCTGCTTGCTTCAATACTTCAAACAAGGATCTGACTAGGGCTTCCCTGGTGGCACAGTGGTTGAGGGTCTGCCTGCCAATGCAGGGGACACGGGTTCGTGCCCCAGTCCTGGAGGATCCCACATGCCGCGGAGCGGTTGGGCCCGTGAGCCATGGCCGCTGAGCCTGCGCGTCTGGAGCCTGTGCTCTGCAACGGGAGAGGCCATAGCAGTGAGAGGCCCACGTACCACACACACACAAAAAAAGAATCTGACTAGCTCAGCTTAACTGTCCATGGGTCAGCTGCCTTTGAGCAAGTGGCCACCCTCGTGCAGTCACTGAAGTTATGTTGGCAAGTGGCAGGGTACACGGTCCTGTATTGCAAACACGTGCATGTAAATATGCCACTGAATCAGGAATTAGAAGCAGGAGGGAAGCTTGCTAAGAAGATAGCTGGGGGTCGGGGTGAAATCACAGCTGTGGCTACCACAGTTTCATGGTCACAGAAACCTTCTTAAGACTTTGCTTTTTATCTTGTCAGCTCTCAGCTCAACTGCTCCCACTTTTCTCTAACTGCTCCGTCCTAAACATGGAGCCCAGTCCAGAATGGCTCTTCTTAACATTCAGAGCCGTCTGTGACCTGGCCCCACTGTACCCTTCTACTGTCACCTGCCCTACAGGAACCACCTGCTGCAGGTGGACCTCTACTCCTTCCACTCTTTCAATGTGCCATGCTCAGTCTGGAATGTTTCCACTTTCTCTACGTTTACTTATTTTTTTCCTTGAAGTCCTGTTAAACCTTACTACCCTTATGAAACCTTTCAAGGTCACTCATCCCTCAACCACTTTCTGTGTGGCCTATTCTGAACTTCATTACATTTGGTCTTGTGTTATGCTGTTTCAGACCTTTCATCTTATTTCACCAAAGGCAATGATTTGAAGGCAAGAATTACATTCTACAAGGCTGACTTCTCTAGAGCCTAGAAGTAGCAAGGCCACTAAGAAAATAAGACAAAGCACTGGAAGAGCTATTAGCAGATATACCCAGTGAACTTAAATACTATGTTTCGATCTCACTCTTATTTTTTCGCCAAACTAGCTACAGATTAGGCCCACAGGATACATGATTTCCTTTCCTTTCATTTTTTTTTTCTTTTATACCTCAACTAAAGTCACTTTCATTCAACTGGTTGAGTTAAAGTCAATATCCGTTGACAGTCACACAGAATAGGGTGATAAAATTGAACAAAAGTCAGACTTTAGCTAAGATGTCATTGTTAAGAAAACTTTTAAATGAAAGCAGACAAGGTAGCATGGCAACATACTTACACGAGCTAATTAATTTTAAAAGACATTACCTCATAGCCGAGTAAGTGTCCATTGCTCAACTTCCAAGGAACAGCGTTCCAAGAAACTTCAATTTCTGAGGAAGACAAGCTATTTGCACAAACTTGAGATGGAGCTACTGTAGGTTCTATTTGGGAACAGAGAAATATATTGAAGTTCTTATTTTTTAAAAAAAAAGCATTTTAACATATTTGAACATGTAAAATATTCTGTAAAAATATTTGAAAACATGAACCATGTCTTGGTCACTTTCCATTTCCTAGGAAGAGATAGCATCACAGCCGCAGGCTTTTCCTTGATGAACAGCCAGGGCAACTTGCTCCCTCTCTAGCGCTCCCTTCTTGGCATCCTACTTTCCCCCCCCCCCCCATCATTATTTCTCTCCTCTCCGTCCCACAGTGCCTATGGGAAATCCTATGCCCACAAGTGCTACTTATTTTATTTTTTGTTTTTCCAAATAAAGGTCAAGGTCTACAGAGTTCATTTATTCAATAAGCATTTAGTGAGTGCCTTGTCTAGCCAGGCCCACAAGAGGGGCAAAGTTAAATGAGATCCTGTACTCTTCTGGAGGAGATAAGCACACACAGAGCTTAGTACACATCCCCTTTGTAATGGAGAACTCTCGGGGCTTCATGGATCTCACAGTGATTCTTTCCTCTCAGGAGCTCTGAGCAGAGATGCGTCCTCCCCCAGTATCCATTTCTACGTTAAAGGATCCTGCCCCCTGGCCATGGATGATGCATACTGAGATAGACCCCTGGTCCAAGGATGGGCCTGTTAGATTTTTTTCTCTTGAGAATTTGAAATGTGCTTTGGAGAAACGAGGAAGACTTGAGGCCAATCAATCCAGCCCTGCTGCCCTAGAGAAGCCCTAGGTTTCTGAGGGCCCAGAGCTTCTCTGATTAAGGCTCTTCATGAGGTTTGCTATTTACCTCTCTCTTTGATTCAATGAAAGGTGTGAGTATATTTCCAATAAATCCCTGCTTTTTTTTTTTTTTTTTTGCGGCACGTGGGCCTCTCACTGTTGTGGCCTCTCCCGCTGCGGAGCACAGGCTCCGGACGCGCAGGCTCAGCGGCCATGGCTCACGGGCCCAGCCGCTCCGCGGCATGTGGGATCTTCCCGGACCGGGGCATGAACCCGTGTCCCCTGCATCAGCAGGCGGACTCTCAACCACTGCACCACCAGGGAAGCCCCAATCCCTGCTTTTTTAAAAGACGAGTCAAATCAGTTTCTGACATTTGGAACAGAAAGACCTTTAACCAAATCATCAGTGGTGGCAAGAATGGAAACAGGAGAAGGAAAGTGCAGGAGGCAAGAAGATATTAAAAGGCTCTGGCCATCCCTCCTTCCCAGCTGCCGCCCGCCCCCAACCCCGTCTACCCAAACTCCCTGGTTAATTGAATTGTCATCACCCCTCAGACTCCTGACCTGCTCTTGTAATGATAATCCTTCTCAGCAACTCTTGGAGATGGGGTCTGGCTATGAATATAAAAGCTCTTGGTTTTGCAAAAAATTTAAAAATCCTGCTCCCTTTTTCTCTCAGAACTCAGTGGGAAAAGAGAATAAAAATAGGAGGTGACAGCATGATGAAAAATTGAGCCTCCTTACTGTTTTTAGGAATGACAACTGTGGACCCACTTTCTCAATTTACTGTAAGGCTTGGAGGATAAAGGAGATACTGTGAAATCGTATTTCGTGAGCTCAAACTACTCAAGAGCAAAGGCCCGGGGTTAAAATACTAGCTCAATAGGTCTGTATGGATTTTGGCAAGTTCATTAATTTCTTTCATCAAGCTTCCATTTTCTCCTGTGTAAGTGGGAAATAACAAATGACAAGTACCTACTTGTCATTCCTCCTTGGAAAATTCAAATTAGGTAATGTCTGGCTGATAGTAAGCATCTAATACATGCTAGCTCCTGCCATTCTAACTAGCTAGAACCACATGAGATAGCCAATAAGTCAGCTGCTTTTGACCTATAAAATGGCAATTTCATAGGATTCTCCTAACATTACTATTATGTTTACTACTACTTTCTGGGACAGAAAGGCAGAGAAAGGGAGTGAGTCCAGAGTGGAGTATGTATGAATCTATACCGACTAGAACTGGTGAAACCCATCCTCAAACCTCCATATTCCATACCTCCTCAATGTCAGGCTTCCGGTCGTCCCTCTCCATCCTGCTAAAACCTCTTTCTCAGGTCTAGGAACCACTATAAAACTTCAGACTACGGCACTTCAAAAAGAATATCTTAATCTTACCTCCCAAAGAAGAAATCTGTAGAAGGCTGTGCTGTCCCCTGCTTCACAGACTGGAACTCAATGTATTCCTCATAAGCACATTTGTAACTAATTATTACCCCCTCTAACTAGCCATTGAGTCTCACACTTCAACAGGGCATGGTTGATCTTTATTACCTGGACTAGTAACTATGACTTCAATCATTCTCCTTTTCAAGAACTATTATCTGAAGTCACAAAGAACTTCCAAATGGGTTTTTGGAGCACAATTGGTTGATTAAGTGTGGAACTGACATACACATCTTCCTTGACTTATGATGGGGTTACATCTCGATAAACACATCTTAATTTGAAAATATCGTAAGTCGAAAATGCATTTAATATACCTAATAGAGCAAACAGCAAAGCTCAGCCTAGCCTACCTTAAACAGGCTCTGAACACTTACATTAGCCTACGGTTGGGCAAAATCATCTAATACAAGGCCTACTTTGCAATAAAGTGTTGAGTATCTCCTGTAAGTTATTGACTACTGTACTGAAAGTGAAAAATAGAACGGTTGCATGGTTCAGAATAATTTTAAGTATATCCATTGTTTACGCTTGTGGTTGTCTGGCTGACTAGGCGCTGTAGCTACTGCTGCCCAGCATCCTGAGAGATCATTTTACTCCGTATCACTAGCCCAGGAAAAGATTAAAATTAGAAACTCGAAGTGCAATTTCTACTGAAATGTGTCTCACTTCACACCACTGTAAAGTCAAGAAATCATTAAGCTGAAGACCATCTGTCTAATCATAGCCTTTCCATACCTTCTTCTGCAGAGAGCACTGTTGTCACTGGGCTAAATGGTCCTTCACCTTTGTTATTATAAACACCCACTTTAACTTCATACAGTGAAAATGGCAGGATGCTTTCATTTCTAAAGACATATCTTGGGGTATCAGGAGATGTGACCACTGTCTGGATCCAGTTGCTTACTCCAACAGGGCGGAAAGCAACAACATATCCAAAACCTTCACCATTCTGTAGTTCTTCAGGGACTGGCTGCAAAGGAAAGGCATATTAACTCACGCTTTCACACGAGAGCAAGGCAAAAATAAATGCAGCTCTAATGCGGAGTCTTTTGTAAAAGCCATCAAATAATAATCCACATTGTATTAAGTGGTTGGATTAAAAAAGGAGAAAAAGGTCAGGGGGACAGTCAGCTGCTTTTAAATAAACATATGGCACTCTTTCATAGCCATCAGATAACTAACTAGAATTTTCCTAAATTATTCAAATTTTTGAGCATCTTGCAGCCCTTTGAGTTCTGAATAATAAAGATATACTTTCAGTTGAAAAACTGCATCTCTAAATCAAATAAAAATCATCTCATCCATAATGTTGATTTTATAGAAAAAAACTACACATTGACATGATAATTCAGAGCAAGAGTAAAACTTTAAAAAAGGAAATAAAAACAATATATTAAACTCAAAGCTGTATTTGCATCATGCCAAAAATTCCTATTGACACTCCATAATCTCTCGACTTCTTATTTTTCCATCCACATCTTCAAATAATGTAGACAATTCTAGTGCCTTCTGACTTTGTTAATTAATGTTTTTCCTAATTATGACTTAAAGCAAGGGCTGAGAGAATGGCTAGGACGCAGCCCCCGCTGGAGAAGTGGTGCGTGCATCACCAGCGGGGGAGCAGCTCCAGAGGTGCTGCTCCAGAGTAAACAGCCAGGACTAGACTCTCACCCCTATGTTTACCAGCCAGATGACCTCGGGCAAATTATTTAACATCTCTATGCCTTAGTGCTTTCACCTAAAAAATGTTGCGAGGATAAAATGAAAAAAATATGCAAAATGCTAGGAACAAGGATTAACACAGAGTGAACACTCAAAAATATTGGCTACTAGTTCCAGCCACCACCACTAGCACCACCCAGGATGCCATGAGTGTGGGAAGGGCGTCACCCTGAGGGGCAGGCGCTGTGCAGACACTTACATCCCAGGTGATCACCAGTTCAGACCGGCTCCCACCTCCTCCACTGGCATCTGAAGGAGGCACTTCCGGCACTGAAAGGTTAGAAAGAAACACTGAAACCCTGCTAGCATCTAGTAAGATTTATCTGAAAGAAGACTCAATGTTGTTTACTTTTTTGTGTGTGTGTGTGTGGTATGCGGGCCTCTCACTGTTGTGGCCTCTCCCGCTGCGGAGCACAGGCTCCGGACGCGCAGGCTCAGCGGCCATGGCTCACGGGCCCAGCCGCTCCGCGGCAATGTGGGATCTTCCCGGACCGGGGCACGAACCCATGTCCCCTGCATCGGCAGGCAGACTCTCAGCCACTGCGCCACCAGGGAAGCCCTGTTGTTTACTTTTAATACTTAAAATAATTTGATCATTGGCACATTACACGTGTGTGTGTGTGTGTGCACATGCACACGTGGGTGTATATATGCAATTATATGTGTGTATATATGTGTGTGCATATATATGTCTGTATATATATATATATCTTTGAGGGAGATCATCACATGCTTTATATTTGCATAAAATTATTAAATATTCAAAATATCTCAAACGGTAAGAAAACAATGACTCAGTGTGAAGGTTAATAAAACAAGAAAAAGTGATTCATCACGGATGATGATAAATCAATCCCGTATGGACATTTTTTTTCCCCCATTTTCAAAGCGATTTTTTAAATTGAGGTATAGTTGATTTACAATTGTTCAGGTATACAGCAAAGTGATTCAGTGTTTTATATATATACATATATATATATACACACACATATATATTCTTTTTCCGATTCTTTTCCCTTATAGGTTATTATAAGATATTGAATATAGTTCCCTGTGCTATACAGTAGGTCCTGGTTGGTTACCTACTTTATATATAGTAGTGTGTACCTGTTAATCCCAAATTCCTAATTTATCCCACCCTTCTCCTTCCCCCTTTGGTAGCCATAAGTTTGTTTTCTATGTCTGTGAGTCTATTTCATAAATAAGTTCATTTGTATCATTATTTTTTTTAGAGTCCACATATAAGTGATATTTGTCTTTCTCTGTCTGACTTGACTTCACTTGGTATGATAATCTTTAGGTCCATCCACGTCAGCATGAACATTTAACTTGTGACTATTTCAAGTACAGATTTAGTTCTCAGAACAACATTGGCTCTATATAAAGATGACCCATACTTAAATCCTCAAGTCCTGTTATGAGATAATCTTTATGAACCTCACACAGGCTTTTATGCTGAGAAATTTATGCTTAATAAATCCCATGACACACCTAGAACATAAGTTCGCTGAAGATGGGTCTTTGCTGCATTCAGAGCTGTACCCACTGGACCTAGAAAGTGCTCAGTGCACAGCAGGTGCTTCCTGAATATGTGTTGTGTGAATAAATGAACTGAGCACCAAGACAGACATGGCTCCCCGATTTCTCACAATACCTGGCATAAACATTATATGCATTGTCCCGTGTAAAAGAGCATCATTAAAATTACAGAAATGTATCCCATGACTTCTATCTTGGCTTTGTTCCAAAGTGATATATTGGCTGTATTTCAAACATAATTTTAGTCTTAATTAATACTGTGGACTCTGAAAAGGAAAGTCTTAAGTCCTCTCTGATGCCTCAATAACGTGATACCATGTACACTTTCTACTTTGCAGTTTCAATGTTAGGCTATTTTTAGCATTATAAAAAGAGTCTTATGGTTAATATTAATAGTTGCCCCACATGGAAAATTTTAACAATAATTCTCTCTTAATTTAATACTCAAGGGGTCAAAATATACCTATTCATCAATCGCTTAAGCTTGGTGGCAGAACGAGATTTCCTAGCAGCTGAGCTCCCAGAAGTCATTATCCTACCAATTTGTCAATGCTCGTTATAAATGAAAACAGCACTTCCCCTGTTAACAGGGTGACTATATCAGATAGTAATTATAACCTTAAGTGACAAAAACATATTCACTCTACATGCACTAATGAATGCTGACGATGGACTGAACTCTTGCAAATGTCACACTACATCAGAATCACTTACACGTGTCTTTTGACAAATGCCATATGGCCAGTCTGCCGTTAGATAGTTCAGAAAATTGCGACAATGCATTATCGAGGCTGGAGATCAAGCGCAAGAGAAGTGGAAATACACACCCAGAAAAACCTGTGAAGCCATGACTCAGAAAACAAAAAACACTAACCTGCCTCCTCAGTTCTTACTTTTTCTGAGGGTAAACTGGGTTCTCCACCTCCGATTTTGTTATTGGCTACAACCCGAAATTCGTATTCCACCCATGGATTTAACTCGACTACCGTAGCTGTGTGTGTTTTCCCATCAATGACCTCAGGCACTACAAAGGAATATTTCAGAGAGGTAAACGTCTGCACGTCTTAGGGTTGACCTGAAATCCATACATATGTACCGGTGGCATTTGCCTCTCCCCCTTTACCTGTTGTGGCCGTCTGCCAACCCACGGAGAAAGGGGTCCGTGCCTGGACAGAATAGGATATAACTGGGCTGTGGTTGTCTGTACCTTCTTTCCAAGAGAGTTGGGCTGTTGTATCTGTAATTTCATCTACCTTTACGTCTTCTGGTGGTCCAGGTGAACCTAAGGCAAAAATGCAAACAATATTTAGCAGTTCCATAAACGTCATTCTCTTCTACCAATGTGAAGAACATGCCCCATAGCACTTGAACCCCTTCAACGGATCCCAATTTCAAAAGCGCTTAGGGAAAGAGGACATTTACCTGGCAACAAAACTTCCACTTTTTTTCTTTCACATTCCTGTTGCTAGATATTAAATCTGCATTCTGAGCCATGAATTCCAAAGGCATAATACTCCACAATTGCAAATGAAACCTGCTTTTTGAGACCTCTATTCAGCAGGGTTCCTGCCCTGTTCCAAATTCAATATCCTTTACTTTGGGCGTGAAACCTTTTTCTTTAATCTCCTGGGACGTCTCTGTAGTTCCCAGTTTGTAATTCAGAGCTGTTTTATTCTACCATGCACGCTGGGTGATTTTTCAGCTCAGTAGCAAATCAGTACTTTGGCCGGTAGCTCAGACTGGCAAATTTTCTCAGGCATCCTAGGTGATCCTGTGTTTTATTTTGGAAGTAGACACACACACCCACTATCACTACTCTCTTTCATATTAAACTACTGCTGTATTAATGACATACTCAAAAACACATCAGCTTGGCAGCAGCTGTGGAACGCTTATTACACTGAGAGCTGTTGGAATGACAGAGTTGAGAATTTTATTTCTTTGAGTTAGCACCTATCCTTATTCTCACATCTTCTGGTCTATTTGGGCAGGGGGATCAAATCAATATTATATAACTCACATGTTCATATGCTATCTCATCATGGTTTTTCAGTTAGAAAGGCTCAGTTAAGAGGCGAAATTAAAGAAGCACACAGAGCCATTAATGTTTACCTCTTACTATGAGGTCAGCGGCAGATGAAACACTGTCCACCCCTGTCTGCACCATACAAACATATTTCCCACTGTGTTTCAACTGAATGTTTCTGATCATTAAATCGCCTGACGAGCTCTGTTGGAAAAAACAGGTAATGAACATATTATTAGTTTGAAAACACAGAGACTCTCGAAGGCTATGGCCAACACCACCACTGGAATAAAGCCCATATTTAGAGAGAAAACCTAGGTGGTTCCAAGACAGAAGATTGCTACGATGGAGAGTATGGAAATAAAAACAGGTTAAAAACCATACATGATTGCAGACATAGGTTTCTGTAGCTAAATAAACAACAAGCTTTCCCCTGGGCATTTATGGTTTCAAAGATAAATAAGGGCAGAGATTACAGTCTCAGAGTCTATTTACTTTCACTAGGGTGACACTTCTTTTTATATCCATTGCTCAGCACCAGCTCAACTCTTTTCTCTAGTTCCATCCTCTTTGCAATTACCTGCCTGAGAAGAAGACGGAAGCATTTAGGTATCTGGCGGGAGATAAAGGCAGCACGACAAGGGGATTACCATGGTTGAAACACTTTTCTGAACACTTTGAAGCTTAAAAAGCCTAATGCTATTTAATTCCTTCGCTACAGAATTTAGGGACAGTCAGTATGAACCCCTCAATAAGAAGAAATTAAAACATTTTTAACCAAAAAATAATAGCTACCCATAAAGACACAGGCTGGCATCCCCCAGTGCCAATTAATGAAGCAAATGTATTTCTAAAAGCTCAACTTCAAATCGTCCTTGTTTTAAAAGAATGTAAAATCATGTTCATAAAATGAGTAACTGCAGGCCAGTTTCATGCATTAGTAAAAGTATGGATTGAAATAAAATGATTTGGAAAGCAAAGCCCTTTGAAAAGGATCACTTAATGGAAAACCTCTAAACTGGTATGGAAGAGGAAGCAATAAGTAGTTTGTCTTATTAATTAAAAGGATAATTTTACTCTTGGGTTTTCCCAGTATTTGTTGAAAGATGGATTCCACTATCTTGCTTTTAGGTAATTTCCTAAGGTCTCCTATCAGGTAGTTTCTTAAATATTGCTTCCTATCCTTAGGATTCTTAATGCGCTATGTATTCTCCGTTGGTTGGATTGTTTGGCTTTAGCCTGAATTTCTTGAGTATCGGGAAAAGGCAGATGTGAGCTGATTGATGGCTGTAATTAAATGATAATCCAGAAACTGTTGAGTTTGCACGCTTTACTTTCATCAAGTTAAACCTTTTCCTTTCCCTCCCTCTCTCTTTCTCCTCAGGGTTACTTAGAAATTATCCCCAGGACAAAGCCTTCAATGCTTGCTGACCTTTAGAAACTCTTTAAATTTTATGAGCTCCATATACTCACAGGAGGTTATCATTTCTATAGGAATCTCTTATTTTCAGTGAAGTAAGAACTGTTACGATTAAATTCCATCAAGGCATTGGGGTACGTTGTTATTCTTCCCTGTGTTTATTTGCTTATTTTGAAAGCAGTTGGGTAAAAAAAGAAAATTGGAAATAGTACTGTCTTTTGGTCCTCAGACACACGAATACAGCTTTTAGGCACATAAGCTCGTTTTCTTTCTTGAAGGAGTAAAAAAGAGATTGATGTTGGGTTTGTCATTTCTCTTCACTTTGGTATTGATGGGTAAAGAGAGATATAACTTAGCTAGCTTGTGTAATAACCAAACCATCTTCCTGAAGAAATATAGTTAGGCTCACCATGTAGGGAAATATAATTTTTAATTGTATTTTACACTGTAGAGTGAAAACGGAAGCAATAAACATGTAGACGGTAGGAACCATTGATTTTGTTTTTCAGCACCAACATGAAACTGAGTGGATGAATACATAAATGAAAAATAAAATATAGCAAAAACGAAGGATCCTGTACTTAATTTTTGTCTTTCTCAGTAGACTATATTTATATTGTTCCTCTTCTACTGCTTTTTCTCTCTCACCCTATCTATTGCCTTTTAACGGAGCAATATGAAGAATCACGATTCATCTTAACAAAAGTTCATTGAATGCTTGCCATACTAGATTCACTCGAGGTTAGAGAAGTGTGTTATACATGACCTCTGCTCTCTAGGATGTAAACCCAAGGCAGGGATATATATATATGAAACAAGTTATGTTTACAAATTTAGAGGGGCTTCCCTGGTGGCGCAGTGGTTGACAGTCCGCCTGCCGATGCAGGGGACACGGGTTCGTGCCCCGGTCCGGGAAGATCCCACATGCCGCGGAGCGGCTGGGCCCGTGAGCCACGGCCGCTGAGCCTGCGCGTCCGGAGCCTGTGCTCCACAATGGGAGAGGCCACGGCAGTGAGAGGCCCGTGTACCGCAAAAAAAAAAAAAAATTAAGGAAGTTATTTAATAAAGGTTAAATAAAATCACATGGCACATACCATGTGTACACAACGTTAGAACGCAGGAGGCAGGAAATTTTTCAGTCCTGCCGAGGATGTGGAGTGACCGGTACTCTTGCTATTGCTAATGGGAATGGAGACTGATGCAATCACTCCGGAACCTTGTTTAGAAATAGCTACTAAGGCAGGATATACCCATAATCTACAACCTGGCAATTCCATTCCTAGGTAATACGTACTTTACAGACATGTGTGTGTATATTCACCAAGACATTTAAAAGAACGTTTGTGGCAGTACTACCCATAATAGCTAAAGAACGGAAACAACCTAGTGTCCATCACAAAAAGTAGCTTAGTAAGTAGTGGAACACTCATTTAAGGAGATACCATTAGACCATGAAAATCAATGAACTATAACTATATAGACTGACATAGCTAAGTCTCAACATAAAAAATATAAATCAGATAGAAAGGAGTACAATGACACTAATCTATCACATCATAAATCTAGACTGTGACTATCTTTGGAGGGATATTTAGTACTGCAACGAGGCATCACAGGGACTTCTGGAATAGGGGTCATATTGCTTCCTGATTTCATCGTTGGTTACCTGAATGTGTTCATTTTGTGAAAATTCACTGGGCTACACACTTATAATTTGTGTATTTTTTGGCAGAACATAATGACTCTCAAGATGCAGTTGTTATAATGTACAACTATAGCTCTAAACGCTCCACTATAAATAGGACCATCACTGAAAAGGTCAAATAACATGGTTGTTATTCTAAACTCCAGTTTCTTTCACAAGAATTAAATGTTTAATAATAAAAGTGCAATTAATTAGAATATTCTATAACTTCTTATTAAACTGCAATTGATTATTCCCAGACGTTAAAAAAATATAAAAAAGGAAAAGGAAATTCCAAAGGGAAGTTTCACTTACATCAAACCACTTCTTGTCCCCACCAATTTTCACTGCTACTGGTTAGGATATAGTTTGTTACTGATTAACTATGATAAAGGGGGCAGGAGAGGAACGTCCGAAAAAATCCAAGTAGCATTAGTCTAACTGTGGTAAAATAGCACTTGATAGATTATTTTTCAGTATATTTATCAGTAAAATTGCATCTATTATTTAGATAAATTTAGAAACATGCTTCTAATTCCTCAGAGTTAAGTATAAAACAACTTACAAACATTACAAACATTAATAATCTTGCAATAAATTATTAGGAACACTAATAACCCTTTGAATAAAAATAGCTTCTACTTTATTATCTGCTAAATTAGTTTGTTAGTCTTTCTTTGTATTGTTTTCCTAAACTCTCCTTTGGCCCCCTTCCCTCAAATAGAACGGACTAGAATTGGGACAAAGCAGAGTCAAAGCTTCATTTTCTTCACTTCGCTTATCCCTATTGCCCTTAAAACGTCCCCCTCAAAATGCAGCAGTGTAATTCCCAGTCTTTCCAGAAAGCAAGTCCTTTTTCTATGCCGCTGGTCACAGCATTATTTGAAAATGGAGCTTTTAACAGTGCAAGAGGCCTATTCCTACAGCTTAAACGAGGGTTTAAGAAGAGGGAGACATTTCCCTAAGTCATATGAATTTTAGCTCTTTCTCAGAAGCTCTATCTTTTTAAATAGGATCATTCATTCCAAAACTATTCATTAAGCAATGGCTATACTTTAGTCGCTGAGGATACAATAGTGAGGGAAAAAAACAGTCCTTATGTTCATGGAGCTTACAGTTGAAAGACAGCCATTAATCAAATGACTACCACAAATCAATGTAAAATTACAGCGTAATGCAAGTTCAAGATACACAGACGAATCTATGATTCTGGAGTCTCAATGTATTGATAGTTGAGCTAAGATCTGCAATATGAATACAAGCTATCTAGCAAAAGAGGGTAAGAAAAAAGTAGTCTACATTAGAGCACTTACACGTATGCAGAGACTCTAAGGCAGGTGACAACATAGTCTCTTTTGGGAATGGGAGGGATAGGCAATGTCAGGGGGGTTAGTTAATCCACAAATCCATAGGAATAGGCCTCTCCCACTACCAAAAGCTCCATTTCTGTCCCCAGAAAACTAAAATTTCACTATAGCTAATTTCAGGTTCATATTCATGTCTTAATGATAGTAATTCTTTTTATTATATTTGAAAAAACTTGTAAGCTTTTCTAGAATTAATTATCTAATTAGGTTTTCACCTAATTATATAGGTTTCTCCTAGAAACGATCATATTTCCAGAACATGTTACAGGTATAAACAGTATATGGATTTATAAGTCAAATCACCTTTGAAATAAATGCTAAGAGAAAATCCAGTGAGCGCATGAGACGAAAAAGAAGATAAGCTTGTTAACTTTTTCCCTATATTTTCTTAGGTGATGATGCTAGTGGAATTTTTGATGTAGTTGAAAAACCACTCTGCACTGAAAGAAAAACACTGCATGATGTGATAACCCACGCCAGCTGAAGGTAAGAAAGCAGATAACTCATTACTAATTACACATAAGCTGAGAGTACATTGTGAGATCTACCATATGCTACAAATCAAGGTATAAAATAAACCTTGGAACTTGGAAAACCTCTTGACCCCTGCAAATGTAGCATGCACTTTGAATAAAACAAATTTTCAGCAAAAACTAATTTCCTAGTAAGCACTCATGATGTAAATGCGGCTGCTGGACTGCCAAGAAGCATAATTTTCCAATTTAAGGGGGAA